AGATTTTGATAATTATTATCAATAACTGTGATGAAAAGATGGCACGTTTTTTTTTACATTTTTTATTTATTCTGCTCTGTGAGACGTAGTGTCGCAAGAAGCAAGCGTCACGACTAATCAAAACATTAGAAGAAGGAGAGCGATCGTCACTTCGGTCAATGTTTATTCTAATATGCGGGTTCTGTGCGAGTGGTCTGAATGATTCACGATGTGGGGAAGCTGCCACGGAGTGACTGCAAACTTCACCGTCTGCTCATCGCATCCCGTGCGTGCACGCTCTTTCATTTTCCGTTACTCGCCACGTTATGGGGTACTGTGCACCTGTGAACTGTACCAAAGACCCTATATACTATATATGGTCTAGGGATATAGGTCTATATCTATATATCTGGATCTATATATCTATATATCTAGGTTTATATCTGGTCTAGGTCTTTATACTATATATCAAGAGCGTATAAAGAAGGAGAGCGTACAACGGTGAAATGCTAAAACCATGTTGCAGTATTAGTCGAATTAATAAACTTTCCCCGTTATTTTGACGATTCTTTGCAGTATTATTGATCAGCTGTCCTACCTTGTTAATATAAAACAAACCGCATGTCCCTACGATGCCCCTACGCTGAGATAATGAGCGGTGAAAATCTGGTATTTTCGCTAAAAACCGACTTGAGATCAGTGTTTACTGCGACTGTCTCTCGCTTTGAGATAACTTCGGGAAACCTCGCGTGTTTCTGTCAATGATTGACAAAATTATTCGCTTATTATTATTATTATTAATTTAATTATAATTATTATTCCTTCGTTATACGCTCTTGTATATATGTATATAGATTATAGAGTCTTTGACTGTACGCACCGGGTGTAGCGGGATCCACGCCAGCGGGTTCGACAGGGTATTGTGTTGAGCGGCTCGTAAGTCGTGACCCATAGCTCTCTAGCGATAGTCCTTACTAATTGCTGTCGTGTAATGACTAGTGCATTAGTTGGGTGACATGATGTCGATAAGTTATGCTGTATATAAATAGAACACGCGCTGAGCAAGAGAAAGAGAAAGAGAGAGAGAGAGAGAGAGAGAGAGAGAGAGAGAGAGAGAAGGAGAGAAAGCGAGAGAAAG